AAAAAAAAAAAATGAAAAAGAAAAAAAAAAAAAAAAATGAAAGAGAAAAAAAAAATAAGAAGAAAAAAATAAACATATATAATGTTAAATATTCCATCAAAAATAAAAACTTTTATGAATACAAGATTAAAATTTTCGTTGTAATTTATCTTTTTTATGTCAATTTAAAAGATATATTAAAAAAAAAAAAAAAATTTCTAAAATATAATAAAAATATATATATATAAAAAGAAAATTAATATGGATTTTAATTTATTTGAATTTTTTTATTATATTAACAAAAATATAAACTTAGTGTAATAAATATTTTCATTTTTTTTTTTCATATATATATATATATATATATATATATTTATAATTAAAAATGTGTAAAGAAATAAATTATATCAATTCAAAGGATGAAATAAATTTCCTGTTATGTCGAATTTTTTTATCATAAAAAAATTACATAAATGAACAAAGAATGTAACTCAATTTAAAAAAAATGTATTTTTAAATAGAATATTGTAATATTGGGAAATTATGTGATTTTAATTAAAATGGTGATACATAATTAATAAAAGTTTGAAAACATATAATTGAATATAAAAAAAATAACAAAAAAAAAAAAAAAAAAATGTTCTTTAACTTTATAATATTTCTAATAAGCATAAACTTTATATCATGTATTAAAATAAAATCTTTTAATTTAAATAAAAATATAGATATCATTGGTCTAGAAAGAAATAATTATATAAGAAGAAATTTTATAAAGAATAAGATAATAAAAAATCTATATTTTTTAAATAATATAAATATTATAAATAATAAAATTTATTTACGTAAAAATATAGTAAAGAATGAAGAAAATGAGAAAGAAAGCTTTTCTACTTTTGATGAATATTTTAATAAAAAAGCGGAAGAAAATTATACTAAATTAGAAGCAGATAAATTGAAAATTCTTAAAGAAAATATTCATTCATATAAAGATGAAATAAAAAAGGCAATGGAGAAGAGTTATAAAAATGAATATAAAAAATTATTAAAAGAAGAAGAAGAGGATAATAAGTTAAGTAATGAAATCCATGAAAATATTAAAATAACATTTCATATGAATAAAAATATAAATAATTTCTTATTTACTGAATATAGTTATATGATAAATAAATTAAAAGAAAGATCAGTAATTTTAAAGAATTTAAGAAAATTTTATAATAGGAATAATAATAATAATGATAATAATAATAATGATAATAATAATAATAATAATAATAAAGATGGAAATTTAGTTGAAGATGAGGTTAATAAAAAAGAAAAGAGTATGTTGAATATAAATGAAGATGATATAAAAGAAACAAATAATGCTATTTTATCAGAGAATCAAGAAGAAAATGTAAACATTTTACCAAAAATAAACTTAAATTCAGATAATATAAAAAAAGAAAATAATGAATTAAAAAAGTTAATGGAAAATGTACAATTTTTTAAACCAGAACAAAATTTAACTCAAATAAGAAATTGTCAAACCTTTAGTGATCAATTATTTGCTAATGCGAAAATTGAGAGTAATAATTTTTTGCTTAATTTAAAAGAAGAAAATGAAAAAAAGATAAAAGACGATATGCTTATAGATAATGAAGATACAGAACAAGAGTTATTTTTAAAAAATAATGTATCGGCCTTACAATTATTTAAAGAAAACGTAAAAAGTTTTTTACATTATAAAAAAGCAAATATAATAAAAAGTAATTTAAATGAGGATTTATTATATGGAAGAGTTAAAGTACATTGGTTTCCTAAATTTATGAAAAGGGTTATAAGCAAAATTCCTGATTATATAAAAATTAGTGATATAATTATAGAAGTAAGAAATGGCATTATTCCATTTGTATTTGATGATTTGTATGCTTTAAATATTTTTGATATTTATACAAATAAACCAAGAATAATTGTTTACACAAACTCTGATAGATCATCAATAAAAGGTAATGAAGAATGGGGAAGTTATTACAGAAGAAAATTATATTGGTATGATAAAAATTTTAATAAAAATATTAATAAAGAACATATAAATCAAATGAAAAAAAGCGCAGTTATATTTGTAAATGCAAAAGATGGAAAAAAAGAGATAATTGTATTAAAGAAATTAATTAACAGACTTTGTCAAAATATAATTGATAGCAAAAAAAAGAAAGGTATACACAATTATAAAGTGAAATGTATTTTCATAGGTTTACCTAATGTAGGAAAATCAGCATTAATAAATCGCATATTGGAATTTAAAAAAACAAAATCTTATGATTATCCAGGTTTAACAACTAATATACAAATGTATTCCTCAAAAAAATATGAACTAATTGATACTCCAGGAATACTATCTCAAAATTTATATAAAATAAGAGAAAAAACATATGACAAAAAAAATATGATATTGGAAGAAATTTATAATTATAATTCTAAGGATTATTCTAAAGATAATATTGTTAATATTAAAAACTATAATAGTTATATGCATGTAGAAAATAATATTTATCTTTTAGCTTTATGTAATCATATATCACCAAAAATGTATGATATATATAATGTTGCAGAAGTGTTGATGAAAAATTTATATAATGCTTACTTATATGATAATGATTATATTGACCTACAAAAAATTATCAAAAGATATCAAATTAATTTTACAGAATGTTTAAATAGTGAAGGAAGCTTTTGTGCATATAATTTTATTCAAAAATTAGCTCGTGATAGATTTCATAATGATTTAAATCAGGCATCTATGAGATTGGTTACTGATTTTAGAAAAAATTATCTTGGAAGAATTACTTTAAATTATCCAATATATTTTAATAAAAAATCAATCACTTTAAAAATCTCAAAAAATTTTATTCAACAAAAAAATGATAAGTATGTGGGATGGTGAGAAAAAATAAATATTAAATGTTGTATTTTTCTTTTTTATTTTCATTATAATAATAAGCTTTAATCACAAATAACAAAAATATTTTAATTCAGTATTTTAATAAAAAATCAGGAAAAAAAATAAAAAAATTTTTTTATCAATTTACTAACAAAAGTTTTTATGCATTTTTCTTAATTTATATTTTGAGTATTTATTATTTCATGCTATACTATTATTATATATTAAAAAATTATAAAAAAACTGTTTAAACAAATAATTTTTTCTTTTTTTTTTTTTTTTTTTGTAATTAATAAGTATTTTAACTTAATATAATTCAAGGTTATTTATTATTTTTTTTTGATAATTATTACAATTTATATTAATACTTTTTTTTTTTTTTTTTTTTTTTTTACTATTATCTCAATTAATAATTATTTTATTTATCCATCAGCAATGCTATAATTATTTTCATCATTTTCCTTGGGTAGTTTCATTCCAGGCCAACTTGAAAAAAAAAAAAAAAATATATATGTATATTAATTTTTTTTTATATATATATAAGTCAAATTTTTTTTTGAAAAGAAAATAATATTATACAAAATTATATAAATATATATTTTTAAAATATTCTTACTTTGTTAACTTTAAACATTCATTAAATAATTCCATTTCATGTGATACATCATATGATGTACTATTTTGTATTACACGTAAATATATTAATCTATCTTCGATTAATTTTTTTAAATTATGTAAATTTCCTGATTTAGCTAATTTATGTCTATGATTTTGAATAATAGCCAAAAATAATTCTGCTGTTGTTTCACCATACTGTATACCTGTTTCATCTATATTTTTATTATTAGCTAGACATATTAATCCTTTCATAATTTCATTTTTTATAAATATTTCAAAAGTAATTTTATTTTGATGAACTAAATGTTTTAAAAGAAGAGCAGATTTTTCTTGATATTTGTAAATATTTGTTTGCATTCCGTAAACTAAAAATCCAACTCCACCATAATCAATAAATTTGTTTTCTGCTTCATCATGATGTCTGATTAAAGCTGAGATTGCAGTAATTAATTTTTTGTCAATAAGTGTTTTTTGAGATTCTTGTAATTTTATTAATAATGTTTTTAATGCATTTTTTTTAAAAACAGATTCTTGCAAATCTGGATTATTAGATAAAGCTAAAGATAAAATTTGTAATACTGATTCTAAAATATGATTATTAGAATGATCTAATAATTTTAATAAAGGATCTATTGCTTTAATTTTATCTAAATTTCTTGCAACTTCTGGATATTCATCAACTAATCTTTCAACAATTTTAGCTGATGCCAATATTATACCTTCATCTTTATTTTCAAAATTTAATACTGCTTCATTTATTGCTTCATATGGATCTTCTACTTGACTTAAAGCTTCTTTTATTGCTCCTTGTAAAAATTCAATATCTTCTTTACTTAAACGTTTATTTGTGTCAATTGTTCCATCTAAAATATTTTCAATATAAAATTTTATAAAAAATGTTAATCTAGGATTTATATTTATATTCATATACTACTATTATAAGTACTTTATATATATACATACATATATATATATATATATATATATATATATATATATATATATATATATATATATATATATATATATATATATATAGGAAATTTNCTATTTAAAATTTATTACGTATTCTATATTATTCTAAAATTCATCTAATTAGTACATTTAATTTAAAAAAAAATAAAAATGAAATTCAATTATTAATATATAAGTATATATATACCTGCATATTTAGTTGACCATTTTAGTAATCCTGGCCAATTTATATTTACCATTTTCTTTTTTTTTTTTTAATTTTTAAAATAAATGTTGAATTATTTATAAAGAAAAATGAAAAAATAAAAAAATACCAAATAAATGGATATAAAATAAATATATATTTTTTTTTTTTTGTTCACCAAAATAGTATATTCATTCTGAGAATCATTATGTAAATATCATTTATAATTATGTTTAAAAAAAAGGAAAAAATTTTAAATGTAGTTTTTCTATATTAAAAATACAGGGGGAAAAAAAAAAAAAATTATAGAATAATATAAAATTAAGTTAAAAAAAAAAAAAAAAAACAAGAAAAATTAATAAATTAAATGATATTATTTTTTTTACTTTTGGTCTTTGATTTTTCTTCAGTTTTTTTTTAATTTTCTTTTATATTTCACAAAATATTAATAATAAAAAAAAAGAATTTTTAAAAATAATTGATTATTAAGCAAATATAATTCAAAAAAAAGAAAAAAATAAATATCACAAATATTTATTTATATTAATATTTCATATATTATTTTATCATTTTATATAATATTTATTTTGAAACATTTTTTCAGTGGATGATTTTTTTAAAATGCAGATACTGTTATTATTAGGATTTAATTGAACAAATAAAAATAAAAAAAATAATAATTAGCAACTTTAAAAATATAGAATCCATTTCATCTTATATTCTTTTCTTTTTTATTTTTTAAATGTTTAAATTCAGAAATTGCTATACGAGAAAACAATAAATTTTTTTGAATATTTAACAAAATATTATATTCATGTGATACTTTTAAAAAGAGACATCATTTCATTAATGTTTATTAAAATATTGGTAAAATAAGAAATATAAAAAAATAAAACATAAAATAATAAAATATAAAAGAAATACAATAATAAAAAAAAAAAAAAAAAATAATGTATAACAAAATATAAAATAAGTCACTCAAAATTTAAAGTAGTACTCGTTTTTCACGAAATTTCATAACTTAATATTAAGGCTAAAAATGTTCAATGATTTATATGTTCCAAAGAAAAATATAAAAAGAATAATAATTTTGTATTAAAAAAGGTTAAATGATTGTAATTTTTAAATGTAATTTTAAATCCTTTCTATAATTATATGATATTATAATGAGCGAATTTATTTTTAAAAATTAACCAGTACATTTCTAAAATATTTAAAAAAAAAAAAAAATGATAATAAATATATATAATTTTTACACAATTTAAAAAATTTTCTTATAAAATTTTAAGAGTTGTAAAATAAAGAAATATATAACTTTTCTTTCTTTTGTAAAAAATATTTTATTTTTATTAAAAACTATCAAAAGAACATTGTCTATTATTTGTTGATGTTATTTTTTTTTTATTTTTCATGTTTTGTTTATTCAATTATGAATGTATTATAAAAAAAAAACATTTAACAGGTGACTATATATTTGTTGTTCTTGTTTTTTATATTTTGATACTATTTTTATAGTATTTTAAAATTGTCTATATTTAATGATTAAAAAAAAAAAAATTTTTTTTTTTTTTTGTTTTTCATATTTACAGAATATTTTTGTATATATTTATGAAATGACTACATATGTCTTGTTTTCCTTTTTTTTAAATAATATTAATTAGACTAAAAAAAATATTATATGTAATGTTTTTTTTTTTTTTTTTTTTTTTTTTTTTTTTTATTGTATTATATTTTATACTTTTATTTTATACTCATTATATAAATTCTTAATATTTCTTTAAAATTATATTTATAACTTAAAAATATAACTTTTTTCTTAACATTGAAAAAAAGTTTTCTTTTATAAAAATAATTAAAAGAATATTCATCTAAAAAGTAATATAGATTTCGTAAAAAAAAAATTATATATTTTCTTCCATTTCTATTTGTTTCTTAGTTTTGGTTTTTCTGCTAATTTTTTATTTTCATCCTGTTGTTAGGAACATTTCAGGTTTTCTTTTTTAAAATTTTTCATCTAAGATGACTAATTCAAATAAAAGAAAGGTGAATACAAAAGTTTCTGAAAATGAGATAATACAAAAAATAGATTCAATAAATTTAAAAGAAGTGAAAGATGCATCTGCTTCTATGAATTATTATACTAATTTTTTGTCATTGAAATTTAAAAAGAATAGAGAAGGTATTATTTATTCTATGCAACGAATGAAATATTTAGAAGGTATTCTAAAAAAATTAAATAAAGAATTATTAGAAGGAAATAAAGAATTAGAAAAATTGGAAAAATGTATCAAAGATTCCGATAAAGTTAATACATATCTTCAGAAAGAAATAAAAAAAGAAATTGATAAAGGAAATATGTATAAGAGTAGAGTATCTCTTTTAAAAAAGAATAAAATTCGAATAATAAAAGCTCAAGATATTCTTGATCAAGATATATATTATATGGAATCACGAATAAATATGATGAAACAAAATGCTGATGTGAATAATAAAAAAGTTCGTAAAATATTAAATGATAAAGATAAAATGCATGAAGAAATGGAAAAATTTAAAAAAGAAAGAAAATCCTTACAATATCATTTGAATAACACAAAACAAGACCATGAAGTTTTAAAAAATAAAATGCAAAATTTTATTTTAAACATGAAAAAATCAAAAACAGAAGACGAAAAATTAATAATTAGAAATATCAGCAGTTCATAAAAAAATTTGTTATATTAATAAAAAAGTGTATTTTTATACACAAATAAAAAAAAAAAAAAAAAAAAGGCAGTTATTTATACAAATTATTTATATTATGATATATTAGAATAATTCTACCATTTGATATTTAAAATTTCTTTGTTTCTTCTTTTGTCATTTATAACATAATTAAAAAAGATATAACTATAAAAATTTATGAAACATAATATTTTAAAAAATAAACATACATAGATATTTGTTTTTTCTTAAGTACATTTTTATAAATTTAAATGCATTAAAAATATTGTCTTTTAATTATTTTTATTTCATTATTTTAATGAGAATATACATTAACCATTTAAACGTTTTTATAATAATTTCATTTATAAGATTATAATTAACAAATTAATAAGACAAAAATTAAAATTAAAATGTATTACTAAAATTAAAGAATATTAAAAAAAAAAAAAAAAAAAAAATCAATAAATAAATTTTAAATTAAATTTGTTTTTTTTAAAATAATTACGTAATAGGATGAATTAATAAAACTTCAAAAAAAGTAGAAATTTGTAAAATGAAAAAAAGAAACTTAAAAAAAAAAAAAAAAAAAAAAAAAAAAAACTTTAAATATTTAAATTATATAAAAAAATTTTATTTAATATTTTAATAAACATATTTAAAAATATTCACAAGAGAGATTTTAAAAATTTTTTCTAACATTTTGAGAATTGTCTAAGTTTTCAATGTATTATTATAAAAATTCCTCATTTTTTTTATTAATTTGATCTATATAATTAAATAAAAAGGAATCGGATACATAAGGTTTTAAAATATAGCAAGGGTTATTATTTTTATTGGTTGTATATTGCATATATATTTTAGTAATAATATCATAATTAATATTAATATGATATTTAGCTAATAATTTAATAATATTACTAATGATGCTAATATTTCTTCTCGTAGTATCATCTACTTCTTCAAATTTATTGCCTTCAATATCTTCATCTATACTATTGGGATTAGTATCTTTAGATTTTTTAATGGGAGAAGAAATCCATATAAATCCATTCATCCCTAATATTATTTGTACATTAAATGGGAAAACAAAAATATGTTTTTTTTGATTTTGAATCAATGTTTGAGGGACTGTAATTAATATTCCATTAGACAATTTTCCATATATAGAAGATCTTGTATGTAAAATGATACATCCATCTGTTAAAATTCTTTGAACTTCACATGCTATAATGTCATTTGGTTTGTATATATTAATCATATTTATTACATCATTATATAATCTTATTCTTTGACTAAATAAGCTAATATTTGTTTGAGAAATTGATAATAAAGCACGAGAATATGAACCTATTTCTACTACCCATTTATCATTATTTATATCTTTAACTTTTCCAACTAATAAATCTCCTACAGCTCCCGTATACTTTCCTTTTAAAGGTTCTACATAAACTAATTTATTTATATAATTTATAGTTCCTAATATACATGCATAGAACTTTTCATTTTCTTCATATAATCCACTACCCTTCAAAAATCTATCTTTATCTTTTTTTTCTAATATTACTTCTCCTGGTAATACTAACTTTTTAATATTTGGACATGTGCTATCAATATTTTTATTTAAATTAGACTTATTATGTTTAATTGTTTCTACTGCTAATATTCTATTATTAAATTCTTCAATTTCATCTATTTCATTATCATAAGGAGTTGTTATACAAATATCCATATTTTTTAAGAAATTTTTTTTTTTTCAACATACGAAATTTTTTTTTTTTTTTTTCTTTAAAAACAAATTAAAATTTTGAAGTTTTTATTTTATAAATTAGTTGTAACTTTTATAAAAAATTTAATCTAATCTTCGAAATTACATAAAAGCTGTTCAGAAATATTTTTTTTTAAATATTTAATATATAACTTTTTGTAATAAATGTTTCAGTTAAATTTTTTTCAAAAATATTTTGATTTTTGTTTTCTAAAATTTTTTCATGATCAATGTATTAAATTATTAAAATAAATAAAAAAAAAAAAAAAAAAAGTATGTATTTTTATTATTACTAATTATCAAAGTATAATTAACTAATTTTTCACTACAAGAAAATATTCCTTTTTTCTAATTTTACAAGGAAATATAAAATAATGTTATTTTATTTGTTAATTTTTTTTCAAACTTTTTCACTTTTTAGCTTTTTTTTTCTTCTTTTCATATAAAAATTTATATATTTATGTATATATAAATTTTTATTTGTTAAAATATTTTTTTAAATATATTTTTTGTTATTTTTACAAGAAAATAACTTACAAAAATAAAAGATTCATTAATGTTTAAAAACTACATTTTAAAATTTTTTCATTTCACTAATGAAATGTGTTTAAATTATATAATTTTATGAAAAAGTATATTACATGAATACTTAAGTATAACGTTACGTTAAAAAGTTTCAAGAAATATTTATAAAAATGAAATTCACAAATATAATTTGGATATACATAATGAAATGTATATACTTATCTTTATAACATTTCTAAAAAATGTTTTTTATACAAATATTTTCATTAAAAAAAAAAATTATATCTTATATTTTATACTTTATTCAATATTTTACATTAATTATATACATGGTTCAAATATATTATAATTTTTTATTATATCATTTTATTTTAGTATTAAAAATTTTTCTTTTAAAATTACAAGAAAACTAATATGCAAGTTTTATTTTTTTAAAATATTTTTTATTAATATAGTATTTAAAAAGTTTAAAGATTTTCACAGAAAAATTATTGAACTTATTTATATATATTTTATATTTTCTACTATTTAGTATCTTATTAATAATTAATGAAAATTATTTATCTTACAAATTAGTAAAAATCTTAGCATGAACAAGGTTAAAACGAGATGCTATCAGTATATTTCTTAGTATAAAATGATTCGCAAAAAATATGAATACAAATATATATATATATATATATATAAATAGGTAGATATTTCAAAAATATTTTATAATACATTTAGTAGAAAAATCTTAGAAAATATTTAAAATTAATAAAATATTTAGGAAATAAAAAAAAAAAAAATTTTAATGAATTAATATTTTCAAGTGAACAAAAAAGAAAAAAAAAAAAAAAAAAAGTAAAAATAACTTGTGTGCATGAGTTAAAACTGAAACTTTTGTCTTAGATTTTGAATGCCAATAAGTATTTTAAACATTTTATTTTTTTTTTTTTTATACTTAATTTTAAAAATATTGATTGCTTTAATTCTTTTTTTAACAATTTAAACTTTTTAAATGTTGTAAAATTTAATTATAAGCAGAATATGAAAAAAATTTAATTCATCTACTTATAATTTTATTTAAAATATAAACACAAATATATATTTTTACAGTTCATTTTCTTTTAATAAATATATTACAAGAGCATTTTTTTTTTTTTTTTTTTTGGCAAGTTAAACTTGTATATATAAATAAAAATTTCTCTTTTTTCTTTTAATTATTGTTTTTCTTACAAAAAAAATATATATTTATATTTTTTATAAAATTATAAATCAAGTTATATTTTTTTTTTTTTTGTATAATATATATACATATAATAATGAAAAAATGTTAAACAAATTATAAATTGATATATATTTTTATTTATTATAAATATATATACATTTATTTTATTTTATTTTATTTATTTTTATTTTTTTTTCTTTAATAATTATAAAAATTGCATATGAATTTATACGATAATTTAAAAAAAGACTCTATTTATATATACGGGAAAATACACGAATTGCTAGATCATCTAAATAATCATAATTTTAAGTGTTATATTAACAATGAAAAAAATGTAGATTTATCAAAAGAATTTAAATATCAAAAAAAAAAAGGAGTTGAGTTTATCTCTATTTTAGATTATTATGCAAGATTTAAAAATAAAGAAAGTGAGTTCCTTATTTTACCAATTATCTTTAATAAGGAATATGAAATTTTATATATAGGAGTTTCTATGCTTTTCAAAGAGAATTTTTCGGTGGAATATAAAAGTAATTGTTATAATTATATAGAGTTATTTATTTATAACATAGATAAAAACAATGTAAATAATTATGAAAACAGTATTACTTCTAATAATAATAGAAGTATTTTTAAATTACTTATAAATTTAGAGGATTTAAAAATTTCACATAAAGAAGAAATAATAAAAAATAATATAAATAGAATTATGAATAACAGAAGTAATGTGCAAGGATTATATTTTAAAAATAATAATTATTACAATGATAATAAAAGGAAAGAGCATTCCTTCTCACAAGTAAATCATCGTTTGAAACAAGAAAATTATTTAGTAAATGGTAGTAATATTAAATATAATAATGATAAAAATTTTAAATTAAGAAATAATGACCATTTAATTATATATAATACTTATAATTCTTTAAAGGAAAATATTAACTTGGAAGAATCATTTATTAATTACTCATATAAAATCCATACAAATAATAGTAATAACGATAACAATAATATTAACATTAATAACAATAATAATAATAATAACAATACATGTGTTTATCACAAATATAATAGTAATATTAATAGTGGAAATAATACTAAATGTAATTATAATATTAGTAGTAATAATAATGACATCAATAAAACTAGTAACAGTAACAGTAACAGTGATAATAATAAATATAATAATGATGATCATGAATATAACAATAGCTATAATACTAATAGTTACATTAATATTATAAACAACAGTAATAATAATAATAATAATCTTTTAAGTAATATTAGTTATAGTAATAATAGCAATAAAAGGAATAATATTTACATAAATGATACTAAAAACAAAATTAATAATAACAATCTACATAATAATAATAATAGGTATAACAATATCATTAATAATAAAATAAATAGTAACACAAATGTTAGAAATAATAGTAATACCAATAATAAAAATGATGTGAATAATATTAATTATGATATTAACAATAATAATACATATAAAAACAGCGATAATTATAATGGTGATGCTAATAATAATAGTAGTAATAATAGTTATAATAATGATTATAATAATAATTATGATAATTATAACGACAATAATAATAATTATAATAACAATAACTATATTAACAATAATGATAATAATAATAAGTATAAAAATAATAATAGTAATAATTATATGAATAATATTAATTGTAATAATAACAATAAAAATGATAATAACAGTTTTAAAAATAATAGTAATATTAATAATGATATGAATAACCTTAATTATGATATTAGTAATAATAATACTGATAATAATATAAATATCAGTAATAATAATAGAAGCAACAGTAATTATGAAGATGATAGAAGTAATAATAATAAGAATAATTTTGATATTAACAATAATAATAATGGTAATATTGATAACATTAGTAACGTATATATTAGTGATAAAGTGAATTATAATAGTTTATATGAAAATCATCAAATAAATAAAATAAACTACTATAAAAATAATGAGAGAAGTAATGAAAATGAAAAGAATAATATATCGAAAATGAGTTGTGAAGATCATAATATTGATTATCAACTTTATTATTATAATGAAACAGAAAACTTAGTTTTAAATATAAAGAAGGATGATAAAATCCCAATGAATATTGGAAATTCTTCCAATAATGATAATGAAAAAAAAATATTTACCTCTTTAAAAGTAAGTGAATCATTGCAACATAATTATATGAATACTAAAGTAATCAATAATGCAGAAAATGACAAATTAAGTGATAGGGTTAGTTATATAAAATATAAGATGACCTACAATCAAAATGATTATATAAAAACGAATGATATGAATTTGAATAATTACACTGAATATATGAAAGATATATCAATTGATAATGTTATATATAAAAATTATACTCAAGGAAATATTAATGAAAATGAAAGATGGAATAATTTTAAATCAGGTTTCTACAGTTTTAAAGGTAATAGAACTTATAATGAAGATAGGGTAATAACAATAGAAAATATTAGTGATTTTATAAATAACGAATATAATGAAATAATTAAAAAAAAAGAATTAAATGAGTCTTTTGATAAAGAATATTTTGATTTAATTCAAAGACTACATCATATAGAAACACCTTCATACATGTATTGTGCTATTTATGATGGTCATAATGGAGAAAATGCAGTAAATATAATTCAAAAATTTTTACATTTAAATGTCTATTCTTATCTTGTAAACGGAAATGGAATAAGTAATTCATTAAAATATGGTTTTCAATCTATTGATGAACATATATGTAAATGTACAATGATTAATGAAGAAGATAACCATTCGAATTTATCAAGTGGTAGTACTGCATGTGTTAGTATAATATTTAAAAATATGTTGTATATAGCTAATATTGGTGATAGTAGATGTGTTTTGAGCAAAAACGGAAGAGCAATTGTATTAACTGTAGATCACAGAGCAAGTATAAATAAAAAGGAAGAAGAACGAATTATAAAATCAGGAGGAGTGTTAGATGATGAAGGATATCTAGGTGGTTGCTTAGGTGTATGTAGAGGCTTTGGATCTTTTGATAAAAAAACAAAAGAAAAATTAAAAGGTTTAATATGTGAACCAGATTTATTTCAAATAAAATTAACTGATGATGATGAATTTTTAATTATTTGTTGTGATGGTGTTTTTGATGTTATGACTTCTCAAGAGGCTGTTAATACAGTTAGAGCATCTTTAGTTCAAAATTCAAATGCAAATATAGCTTCTGAAGCACTATGTCGATTAGCATATAAAAGAAAATCTTTAGATAATTTATCAGTTGTTGTTGTAATATTTCAAAATCCTGAGATGAAAAAAAAGACAAGTATAAATGAAAATTCAAGTTTGTACTCAAGTCAAACTGGAAGAGTTAGAAGAAGGTAATAACTTAAACAGTATATAAAAAAATATATATTTATATATATATATTATATAAAAACACATTATTCTGCATAACATTTTTATGTAAAAAAAAAAAATTAAATTATATATATATATATATACATGATTTAATAAAATATTATTAATTCTTTATGAGTAAAAAATAATATGTATATACAATGTGTATAAATATATATATGTGTTTTTTCTTTTAAGGATAAAATTTTCTGCTTTAAAAGATTTAATAAATCCTTGAGTTCAGACATAAATAAAAAATTAATTGGAAACATTATGTTATAAAAAGAATTAAAGATAAAAAATTCAAAAAAATAATGAAATTAATTGTAGAGAGAAGAAAAAAAAGTAAATATATGAAGATAGTATCTCTAAGAAATTAAATTCAGATAAGATTTATATTATTTTTCCTTTTTTTTTTTTTGTTACTTTAAAAAATGTATTATTATTATTTAATCACATGAATTATAGGAATATATTAAAAAAGGGAAATGAAGATATATTTTTGTTTTCAACAAAAACTTTTAACAATAAAAATATACTTTATTAATATACAATACATTATAAGGAAATTTTTTTTTCATTTTTTAACTTTTTTTTTTTTTTTTTTTTTGTATAATTTAAGGGAAAATAAGAATTTTTTTCTGAAATTAAATTTTTAGGAGTTATTTTTATTTATACTTTTAATTCATAATGTTATTGTACTTGTTATATATATATATATATATATATATATATATATATATATAAATGTATAATTTTATATTAGTTTATTTAATTATGTTTGTGTTTTTCCTATGTTTTAAAATAAAATAATTTTTATGAGTATTATAATTTAATAATATGTGTTAAATTTTTTTTTTTTTATTAGTCATTTCTTATTTATATTTATAGTAAGTATATGTAATTAGAAAATGTCTATTTTTTATTAATTTAAATATTTTGCTTTTTAAATACATGAAATATTAATTAGATGATGTATTTAGTACTTTAATATAAGTTCTTTTAATATATTTTTCTATTATTTTTTTTAACTTTATAATTTAAGAATTTTAAAATAATCTGACAAATACATTAAAATAAATAAAAAGAAATAGAAGCATTAACTATGTAAAAGATTAATAGTAAAAATAATTTTTTTTTTTTTTTTTCTGATTTATATAAGTAATTTTAATATTATTTAATTTGTAATTAAGAAGAATTTAAATTTTTGAAAAAATATAAAATTATAGTATAATTCATTAATATGAAAATTAATTTGAAATATAAAATAAAAAATTATAATTAAATACTTTATCTAAGAAATTAAATACTTTTAAAGAAAAAAAGTAGTGTAAATATTTCTTCCTTTTTTATTTTTTTTTTTATATATTTAGTTATACAAAAGCTTATTCCTTTATTTTTTTAATTTTTTGTTTATTAAAAGAAATAATTTGTTGAATTTTTAAAATATTATTATTATTCTTTAATATAAGATCCATTAGCTCAGTGGTTAGAGCGTCGGTCTTATGAGCCGAATGTCGTGGGTTCGATCCCCACATGGATCAAATTAAATATACTGTTTAAATTAATTCTATTAAAGGTGATAATTGTTATTTAAAAATATATATAACATTTTTAAATATTTATATATATTTGGAAATATAATATGAAATAATTTTAAATAATTAATAAAATATATATTTATTAGTAAAAACGGGAAAAACGAAATCACAATAAATTTTTAAATTATTTTTAAAAACTGTGTTTTAAGATTTTATAAAAATATATAATTTCTATTTTTTATCTTAAAATTTATATTTAGTTACATGCTTTAATAATTCTTAAATTATTCACTTGTTAAAAAAAAAAATATATATAAATTCAACAGTTGTTTTATTTTCAAGTATGGAATTTATCGTTACTACATGTATAATTTATCATTTATATACATAGGGAAAAATATAAATGAATTATTATATATACCATATTTCCTTATAGAAAAATATTGTAAAATATGGTGTATATTATTTTGTGATTAAAATTTTTATTAAATAGATTTTATAGATCAGTATTTTTTAATACTTAAAAAAAAAAAAAAAAAAATACATCAAAAGAATATCCTTATACGTGTATATTTTAGTTTGAAATATAAATTATAAAAAGTTGTAGAAAAAAAAAATTAACATAAATATATAAAATTTCTATGTATTTTATAATAATTTATTATGGTGTTAATAATATAAAAATATGAATAATAAATAAAACTTACGACAGCGGCAGGATTCGAACCTGCGCAGGCAAAGCCTACCAGATTTCTAGTCTGACTCCTTAACCACTCGGACACACTGTCATAATTATGTGGGTTTTATAAAAAATTATACTTACATTTTCTGCATTTCACAATTTTAAATATATTATGTAAAGAAGTATTTTTTAAGAAATAATGAAAAATAAATATAAAATTCTCATAATAGACTATTTTGAGAGGATTTATTTTTTTTGTTATCTTTATAGTATGTTTTTATTGGTGGATTTTGTAATTATTTTTATAATAATTTTTTATTTTTTTTTTATAGCAACTAATTTTCTATTTTCATGGTTATTTATTATATATATATTTTTTGTATAAAACTATAAATTAAGTGGAGATTAAATAAAAATAATCAATTCATACAAAAATTTAAAAAGTGTTTTATGTCAATTACATGTATTTTTTGGAGTATTAATATTTTTTTTTTTTTTTTATAGATTATAGACCACTACAGCCAGTTGTAATATAAAATGAATTATGAAAAAGGTACTTATTTTTAATTTTCTTGTTAATTAATAATTATAGTTTGTAGTTTTATTCTTTCTTTTATTAATATATGTATCTTTTTTTTTTTTTTTTGCATATTTATAGCGTATTTCTTTCAATATTTTTATCTATAATTTTTTTTCACTTATGAGAATAAGTTTCTCAAGAATACTTCCAGAACAAGTTATGAATGTTTTTTTTTTTTTTTTATTATGTTATTTTTCTATTATTTTTATTTTCCTTAAATTTTTGATTTTATATAATGATGTTATTTTATTATGTAGATTATAGGAAATAGATCATGAAAAATTTGAGAAACCATAACTTTTATTACTTTAAATTTAATATGTATTTTTTAAAAAGTTTTTTATTTGCTTTTTTCTATTATTTTTTAATATATTTTAGGTTATTCATATATATTATAATAAACCACTAAAGCATGCTGACTGTAAAGATGAATGTAGAAAATTTTCTTTAATCAAGTTATTTTCTATTATTCATTATACTAAGCCACTAATTATATTTTTAGAAATTTGTACCCTTATATTTTTTTAACAACTTCATAAATTATGTTTTAGTTAGTTTTTATTTTTTTTTCATTTGTAATTTATTTTTCTTTTTTATTATTATGAAAATTTTATTTTTCTTGTATTTCTCATTATTTGAAACTTTTTTTCTTTATTATTTACATTTTCATTTTTTCTTTTCCATTATATGACTTTGTTTGCATCCTTTTTATTTATTTTATCACTCACAAGAAAAAATAAATAGTAAATTTATCAAAATAATTAAAACTTTCATGATTTTTATTCTTTATCTATAATTATTTATTATAATAGTATTTATTTTTTAATATTTACATTTTTAAATAACTGAGGCATAACACTTGGGCACCCAATATAAGAAAAATAAATTTTCATATTTATTATAACTTATATTTTGTTCTAATTTTTATTAATAAAATATTATCCTTTATGTATTATTTATGATTATAAAATATTTAATCAAATTCCTATGATGAATGTATTTTTAAATGAATATTTTTAATTTTTATCAATAAAGATATGTTATATTCTCTTTAATATTTGAAATTTATTTTATTAGCTTTAATTAATTTTAATTAACTTTTTGTTTTTTTATATTATTTATAAATCTTTCTCATTATTATTAATTATCTACATATGTTTGTTATTCATAATTATGACATTTCATATATAATTCAATAGGTGTATTCTCAAAATAATATATATATATACTTTTATCTTTCATTATTTATGATTGGATTTATTATATATATTATTATTTAAATTTTGACTTTATTTATTATATACCATAGTTTTCTTTTTAATATTATTAGTTTCATTTTTATTTTAAATTATTTAATCTTTGTATTTTATTATTCATAAGCATTTTATATTCTAATATTTGTGGCACCGTTTTATAATTAATATCCATTTCCCCTTGTAAAGGATAAGAAATATTCTTGTGCAAAATATGATGAGAAATTTCCCTTTATAACTTATAAAAATTAACGACCAAAAAAGTTTTTAATTTTTTTCATTTGGTAAAAATATATAGTAAAACAATAATGCTTTTATATTTATTATTTCATTTGTATAATTTTTTTTATAATTGATGGATGTATTACTTATGTACTAAAATTGTTGTTTTTTTCATATTAATATTTTTTTTTTTTTTTAAAGTTTAAAATTCTGTTGTATATTCATTTTTAAGTTGTTTTTTAATTATATATATTATTATTTTTAGCATGTCATATTGTACTATTGAAAAACTATAATATATATAAAAAATAAATTTTTTTTTTTTATTATGTATATTTTCAGTATATAGAATTCTTTATTTTTTTCAATTTCATATAAAGTATTTGTCCTTGTTGTAAATTTTAAGATTTGATAAAATTAAAAGAAAAATAGTATCCATTTACACAATAGTTTTATATAGAAGGTAGGATAAAAAAAAAAAATATAAAAATCAAAATTTAGTACATATATTACCATTTAATTACAATACACATCACTTTAAAATTTTTCTTTCATTTTATATTTTAGTGGATAAGAAAAATAATTCATATATATAATACTTCATTTTTTTTTTTTTTTTTTTTTTTTTTTTTTGTATAATTTGTCGACTACATAGTTACATAAGGAGTAGTCTCATATTTATAGGAATTAAGAATGATTACAAGAAAAATATACATTAAGCTCTTTTGTCTCTATTCAATTTGCATTATTAACTTTATTAGATTTCAACGTTTAAAGATTAAATATGATGATGTTCACAAGTAATAATAAAAGGCACATATAATGATACATTTTTTATTATTACATGTTATAAAATGATAAAGTTATATTCTTCATTTTTCCTTTTTTTCAAAATAAATTTTTTTTTTTTTTTTTTATGAACTTAATAGTTCTTTGAGAATTCTTGCAGAATACAATGCCGGAAAAGATAAAGGATCTGATAAAAAAAGTGGTGCTACTCCACATATGATAATATACACTCGAGAGACTTTGCAAACTGATGTAAGTGACGATGATGATGACGGAAATGAAACAGACGTATCATATTGTGATTTATCTGATAATGAGATAGGAGATGATGAATGCTTCGTTTCTACTTCTGATTTAAGAGAAATTTCTAAAAGTGCTTTAGAAAGTATATCGGCAGATCTAGGAGATAATGTAACTTCAGGTGCATGCGCATCTTTAGAAGATGAGGAGACTTCTAAAGTTAGATCTCAATTATCAGAATTCCTAAGTATACAAGAAAAGTCTTATACACAGGAAGATTATGAGAGAATGGGAGCAAGAAGAAAAGAAAAATCTGTACCTTCTCCAGTAGTAGATGAAGAGGAAAATAAAGAAAAAGAAATGAAAAAAAAAGAAGAAGAGATGAAAAAAGAGGAAGAAAATAAAATGAAAAGAAAAGAAGAAGAAAAAAATATGACGAGAGAAGAAGAAGATATGACAAGAGAAGAAGAAGAAGATATGATAAAAGAAGGAAGAAAGAAAAAAAGAGAGAAAAAAAATAAAAACTATAGTTCAATAGAAAAATTAAAAAACTTATTTAAAAGAAGAAGTAGAGGTAGTATTTCGGGTAATGAAAAAGGCGAAGCTGCTCCACTAATTAAATCAAGTATAACATTAGAAAAAGATGATGGAAATGCAATGAGCAATGTCTTAGAAATGGATAATCCAGTGGATATAACTGTTATAAATGACAAAAAATATTATGAAAAGATGTTTGCTCGTTTCATTGCATTAATTCTTATATTTTCTAATAAACCAAATAATATTGATGATCTTGCTCAAATATTACCAGAAAAATATATGTTGCGTTATGTAGATGTTAATGGAAGCTTATTAAGAGCATGTAAAAATGAATTTCCAGGTAGAATTGAAGAATTTAGAAAAGATGTAGGTTTAAATATAGTACCAACTATGGGAGCTCTAAAATATTATTTCCTTTTTGATCGACAGGTTAAAACCTTATATCATTTGTTACGTGATACAATAAAAAGAAATAGAGCTTTAATTTCAGTTATTGAACCATTAAGTAGTACTAGAGAAGCTGATCAAGAAAGGTCATTACATAAAGGGTCAGATATTGTTCAATCAACTCGAGATTTATATGATATTACCTTATCTCGTTATAATGCTGCTTATAAGAATACAAGTAGAGTATTTTCATTTTATTTTTATCATTGGATTGATAAAGCAATTACTGCTATAAAAAAAAAGGATATTCCATGGATTGAAGGAGAAAGAAGAGATTTAAATGTTTATTTAACAATTATTGAAAATAAATTGAAATACTTGACTCAAGATCTTGCTTTGTATATAAGGTTTCTTTTTCATCAAGCTAAAAAAGATAATTTATTTAGTAGTTCAGTTGAACTTTGCTATACCTTGTTTTTTGAACATTACAAAAATTTAATAAACAAAACAATACAAATTTTTGAAATTCATATACATAGTACTCCCTCTAAAAATATAGAATCTACTTTAAGAAAAGTAAGAACTATTTTTCAGGATCATCAGAAGGAAGTACAAACAGAAATTCAAAAATTTTATATGAATAATGTGCTGATACTAAATACTAAAGAATTAACAGAGAATTATATATTTAAAGAAAAATATAGGCAATCAGTTGCAAATGATTACAGTAGGGAAAAACAGAAAAAATTTATATCTCTTTTACCATGTATTTTCTATTATTCTAAAGTTATTTTAGCTTCAGCAACATTACTGATATCTTTACAAAACGTAGATGTTCTTTTTGACGATTTGATGCATCAACGTATAAAATTTGCTGATGCATTGGAAATTGTAAGTTTCCTTGAAAAACATAAAAAGGAGAGTAATCACGTTTTTGCTGCGTTTGGTGATATGGAAAAGAAACTTGCTAGTGATTAATGATTCATGTAGACTTAAACATGAAATAAAAATTCCTATTTATATAAATAGCTCTTTATAATACCATTAGATATAGATTTTAAAAATAAACAATAAAAAAAAAAAAAAAAAAAAAAAAAATACTAAAAGTGATATTAAAAATGATTTTATCCTTTTAAAATAATATATCTATTGTGAATGTTCATATTTATTAAATGGAGAAATAAAAATTGAACTAATAAATATTATGAAAAATATGAATTATTAAATCATGAACATTTTTTTTTAAAATAGATATATTTACATATAATAAAGTTCAATTTTTATTAAAACGAATGTTATATTCATAAAATAAATAATATATAATTTTACATTATTTTTAGATAAATTAAAATAAAAACTATTAAAACATATTTTAAGCTAAAAAATAAAGTGAAATTGAAAAAAAGAAAAAAAAAAAATTAAGTATTTTTTAAATACTCTTTAATAAATATATAAATATTTTTTTTATATGTAAAAATATTTTATATATAAATTTCATTGACTATATAAAAATTATTATTAAAAACAAAATAAAATTGCACATATGTGTATGTGCTCATGTTAATATCCTTATGTATTTTTTATTCTTTTAAATAAATAATTTTTATATTTTATTTTGTCTCGAAAGTTTCTTATATTAATTTTTTAAATTAAATATAAGTATTTATTTATTATATTTATTTAAATTTTAATTTTGTGAAATGTTTTATTTATATACAAGGAAAATAAAGGATCATATTTTTGATAATAAAAATAATTTACTTCTTATAAATATTAAATAAATTATCTTTCTAAATCATCTTATATTTTCTCTAATAAATTTAAGATATTAAAAAAAAAAAAGAAAATTTATAGAAATCAAATTTATTTTTTTAAAATTATATCGTTAACTCATAATTTTAGAGAATTTGAGCTTTGTCAGAACGAAAAATATCTTTCTAAAAAAAAAAATTAAAAATAATATAAAAAAAAAGTATCTGAAAAAATAATATATATATATATATATAATATATGCATAAAATCTTATTTAAATTTTCCTTTTTTTCTTCATTTTATAATTTATAGACATAATAATTCAACCAAATTAATAAATTCAATTATTATTTCCTTTTAAGCATGATAAAAAATCACTAAAATAATAATCAAATATATATATATATATAGAAAAATATAAAAAAGAATAATTGATATAATTACAAGAAAAAAATATTTTTTATATTTTACTAATTTTATTAGTATACATTTACAATTTTATTATGAGAAAAGAGAATCACTTTTCTTAAAAATAATGAGAATGGAATATGAAGAAGAAGAATCTATTCCTATTATAATTTTAGATCCAGGTTCTTGGTTGTTCAAAATAGAAAAAAAAAAAAATTACATAAACTTTTAATAATATTTATTTAGCCTATAAATTTTTTATAATTTTAAAATTATATATTAATATAAATCATTTGTATTTATATATATATTTACATAGGATAATAAAAATTGGATTTGCTAATGATGACTTACCGAAATTTCAAATTCCTTGTCTATATATAGAGTATATTTCTTTTCTTTTCTTTTTTTTTTTTTTTTTTTTTTTTTTTTTTGTTTTTTTTTATTGTCATATGGTTAATTTTTTTATAGAAAAACATTTGTAAATTCTAGAATTATAAAAGTAAAAAAGAAAAAGATCCATTAAAAAAAAATTTTTAATTCTGATAAAAAATTTGATATAAAAATGTATAATTTAAATTATATATGTATATATATTTTTTGTAAAAAAAAAAAAAAAAATAATAATAATACAGTTTGGTAATGAAGCTATTGAAGATTACATTTTAATTAAATATGCAAATTCTACAGTTGGTAAAAAAGAAAAAACTTCAGATAACAATAAAGGTTATCATAGAAAAAATGATATAATGATAAATTAAAAAAATAATAAATAAATTTTAAATAAAAATTATTAATTACAAATGTTATTTAGATGATAAGTTACTTAATGTCAAAATGATTTTTGCTGATCCTAGACACCCTTTGAGCAAAAATAGTTTCACTGATTTATTTGAAACATATAATTACCTTTTAAATGTAAGAATTATATATTTATAATTTTTTATTTCTTCAAAAAATTTTTAATTATATTATGTACATTAATAAGTAAATTTAAAATGATTAATTAATAAGATTTTTTATAATATTTTTTATATTTTATTAATTTATTTATTTATTTATTTATTTATTTATTTATTTATTTATTTATTTTTTTTTTAACAGAAATTAAATATAAAGACGAATGATTATAATTTACTAGTAGTAATACCTGAAACAATTGAAAAACTATTTATATCAAATTTACTAAATTGGGCATTTAAAAATCATAATTTTTTATCTATATCTTTAATTTTTAATGCATTAGCTGCATCTTATTATTATGGATTAAATACAGGTTCTGTGAATTAAAGAACATATGTATTTTTCTTTTTTTACATTTTAAAATTATTTTTCCATTGATTTTCTAATATTTTTATTTTTTTTTTTTTTTTTAGCCCTTGTTATTGATTTAGGAGAATACGGAAGTAGAATTGTTCCGGTTGCAGAAAATCATGGTATTTTTTTTGATAGTATGAGAAATTGTGAAATAGGAGGTTATTTAATAAGTAAATATATTTCTAATTTTGTTAAAATAAATGATAATTATATTGATTACATACTTATTCAAAACTATAAAGAATTAAATAGCTATGTAAGTCTAGATATAGATAATAATATTAAATTAGCTACAGAATGTAATGGATTAATTAAACCATATAAAATTCCTTATAGTAATTTTTATATTGACCCTAAAGCAGAAATATTAAGTCATGAAATTTATTTTCAACCAGAATTTTTGGCACATCTACCAGGTAACTTTTATAAACAAAATATTATATCATTAAATCAAATGGCTTTTGAATCCATTTGTTTATGTCCATTAGATTTAAGAAAAAAATTTTTAAATAACATTATTTTAATTGGTGGTGTTTCAAATTGCACTAATATACGTGAAAGGTTACATATGGAATTAATGCATATAATTAAAAGTAAAAATTATAGTGAAAGTGTTAAAATTAATATTAAAGAAATAAGAATGTCCGATATTGCTTCTTATTTAGGGTGTAAAAAATATGGAAAAGTGCTTTTTTATAACAAAAAAAAATGGATAAAAAGGAATGAATATTTCACTTCATCAAAAAATCAAATAATACAAAAATTATTGATGTGGGCTAATGTTCTGTAGAATCTAAAAAAATTATAATATTATATGCAAAAATATTACAAACATATTTTGTAATATAAAGAAATTACATTAAAAAAAAAAAAAATAAATAAAAATAAATAAATAAATAAATAAATAAAAAAATAAAATAATAAATAACCATTAGAATATTTTCACTATTAATTAGAAAAAAATAAAATTAATAAAATTTATATGAAACTATTTTTTTCCTTAAAAAAAAAATTTTAAATAATTTTATTACAATTTCTAAAAAATAGTTGCAAATATTTCTTTGAAATGAGTTTCTATTACATTAATTTTATATTCGATTTCTTTCTCTTTTTTTTTTTTTTTTTTTTTTTTTTTTTATATAGTACTTTATTTAAAATAATTACAATATTTATAATTTGCAATACTGTT